GTTGTCTCAAAGTTATCTTCACCGATTTCTTAATCTCAAAACCATTCTTAAAACTAACTTTGGTAGTTTTAATTTAAAATAACTTTTGGCTAGTCCAAATAAACCGACTTTGGAGAGGGTCCATCTAACTAGACTCCCACTACTGTCTAAAATGACCCAATAGTATTAAACTTTTTTTTTTTATCTTAAATACTATCATTATATTATAATGATAACCTTTTTACTTTATGTTTTTTTCTATAATTATTAATTAATTATGGAGTAATGATGATACCTTTTTTTAATATACAAATTACAATTTTTACTTAAATCTATTTAACCACAAATTTTACTAAAATAAATTTAATGAGATAATTTTTATGTTATCAAACATTTAAAATAAAACAACTTTTATATATTTTTATATTTCTTATATACAATTTATAAAAATCATTTTTTATAAATATATTATAAAGTACTTATATATAATTTATGTACAAAAGTCACTGTAAACTAAAAGCATTCAAATGACAATCCATAATTTGCAGAATGTGTATTTTTATATTAATAATGTTTCAAATTTATATAAATAAAAATATGATGGTTTATTATTATTTTTTTTTAAAATTAAAATGATAATCCATATGCTCCTTTATTGACGGATGAAATGAAATAAATTTTGGTATTAAATTAAAGGGATAATATCATAAAAAACCTTAAGTTTGGCAGAAAATATCGATTTTATCCTTCGGCAGATTTTTGGTTCATTTATACCGCAAACTTGTCATTTTCTTGTCGGTTTTGCCCTTGTTACCTGCAATAGTAGGTTTCCAGGTTATTATGAATTATTTTTTGCGAAAAAACTCTTAAGTTTACAAATATTTTGCAAAAAAAACCCTTAAGATTATAAACATATAAAATATAAATATATATTCAAAATTTTATAAAACTAAATAGTTTTCTACTGAAACATATTTTTAGCTTTATGTACGGTAAATTTTATATTTGTTTGATATAAAGTTTTTATATTTAAATTTTAAAAAAGTTACCTAATTTTATCAAAATTTAAATATTTATTAATTAATACTTAAACTTTTAAAAGTAACATTAAAAAACGTCTGTTAGCTAATAATAATATAACATTAGTGACATTCAATTAATTTTTTTTAAAAGAAAAAGAAAAATATGTTATATGTTTAAAAGGTTTGAATTTCAGAAATAATAAACTATCATATTTTATATAAAAATAAATATATTTATATAATAAATTAGACAAATATATTTATATTTTATATGTTTAAAATGTTTATATTTATTTTTGATGTTTAACATGTTTATGATATTTTTATAAAAAAATATGATAATATTATTATGTATTTAAACATATAAAAAATACGATATGTTAGTATTTCTGAAATACAAACCTTTTAAACATATAAAATATTTTTATTTACCTTTTAAAAAAATTAATTGATTGTACATGATACCATATTATTCATAATAACTATTTTAGCATAATTACTTATTAACTAACAAATGTTTTTTAATTTTGTTTTGAAAAGTTGAAGTATTAGTTAAGAAATATATTCAAATTTTGTTAAAACTAGGTAAGTTTTTTAAAATTTAAATATAAAAAGTTTATATCAAACAAATATAAAAGTTACCGTATGTAAAGCTAAAAATATATTTCAGTAGAAAACTATTTAATTTTATAAAATTTTGAATATATATTTATATTTTATATGTTTATAATCTTAAGGGTTTTTTTGCAAAATATTTGTAAACTTAAGGGTTTTTTTGCAAAAAAAATAATTTATAATAACCTGGAAACCTGCTATTGCAGGTAACAAGGGCAAAACCAACAAAAATATGACAAATTTGCAGTATAAACGAACCAAAAATTTGCCGAAGGGTAAAACCGATATTTTCTGTCAAACTTAAGGCTTTTTATGACATTATCCCTAAATTAAATAACTTTTAGTATCAACAGGACACTCACCTTAAAAGAAATTGAAAAAGTAAAAATGGCTTGGAGGTAGTGACTACAATTGTAAAAATAGATGAAATTAAAAAGTAAGCAATTACAATTCCCAAAAAAAATTGAAAACTCATAATAGTTAGGGTTCAATAAGTGAATATGGGATCTAATTAGTAGGACCAAAAAAAACTAGTTTTCCTATTTATGTCAAGATTTTTCTACTACACTTTGCAGCCTAAAACTTTGTTTAAGGTTTAGGGCTTGTTTGATAATTGTTGATTGAATCAGAACGCATTTTCCTCTATGACCAAAACAATGTTGTTTCATTACGTATCTGATTAAGGATGTCAACGGGGGCAAATGGGACATGGATTGCACCCCCACCTCGCCCCCAAAATATACCCATTCTCTTGCCCCACCCACCCTCGAAATTTCAAGCCTCCCTATCCATGCCCCCATCTCCGAATTAATGGATTACCCCTGCCCTTGCCCCGATTGATTTTGGAATATTTTTTATTAGGCTAAAAGAAATTGTTTTTAGGTTTAAAGAAACTATTTTTGAGTTAAAAATAATTATTTATAACATAATTTAACATGCTAAAAACAAAAATGTTATTAAATCTCAAAAACGTTATACTAACAACCATGGTTGCAGAAATCAAGATCAATCGATGATCAAACGTGACATTCTCCAACCATCGAGGATCAGGGTATTAATCAGAAATTTAGGATTGATCGGGTTTGGCGGGATTAATCGGTCAACAAAAGTCAAAAAAGGTAAAAAAAAAGTCAAAAAAGGTCAAACAAATTTTTAAAAAAATTCAAAAAATCAATTTCTTTTACTTCAAAAATTTCAAAATTTCAAATATTATACCAAAATATTCATATTTTTGTATCTTCAAAATTTCAAATTACAAATTTTCGTATTTTCTAGTTTTGAAGTACTTGTTTTTCTTAAGATATATTAATATTTGATTAATTTTAATATTCTATTAATAGTCTATAGTCCCTGATTAATCCTCGCCAAGACCGATTCATCTCTTAACACTAGTCGACCATCGAACGATTTTTACAACCTTGCTAACAGCTTAAAAACATAATTTTGTTGAATTTTAGAAGCTCAAAAACGTTATACTAAAACCAGTCGACCGTCGAGCGACATTCTATTATATATATATATATATATATATATATATATATATATATATATATATATATATATATATATATATATATATAGATTCGGTAAGAAATTTTAACGAGTCCCCCCATGGGGTTTGGGATGCCACTGTCCACCCCCGTCCTTGCCTCCGCCCCCGATTGTTTTAACAAATATCCCATGTTTGGACCATATCCCCACGGGTTCGGAGTCCCACGGAACTTTGTAACATCCCTAGATTAACTGTTCTAAAGGCTGAATATGACTATTTTAACTTTCTTAAATATATTGATATATGAGGATTTTTTTTGCTAAATTGCAAATATTCATTAAATTACAATAGTCCTTATTACAAATTTATTGATTTACAAACTGACTGAATTCCTACATAAACATGGTCGATACTTTTTCGTTCTTCTAAATTACGAGTCACAGCCCAATCCACAGCTTCAGAGAAAATAATCAAGAGCATCACCAACGAGCACCAACATAATACTTATATATTGCATTCTTCAAGATTACAAAAAGTGATGATATATCCTATGAGGTACCAACGTACATGCATAATTCTCGAGATGTACCAACATAGAAACATACATACATTAGTTTTTCAAGATCTTCATAGAAGTACCAACATAGAAACATAGAACATCATTTTTTATCAGAAAAACAATGAAATTGAATATTGTTTCAACTTATTTTAGACAAAAAAAAAATAAGGGAGAAGTAAAGTACATGAATGATAGGCGGAGGTCGGCAGTGGCAATAGGTGGAGGCTAGCGGCAGTGATCTGCTTGAAGGCTCTATGGCCGACGGGAAGAGCTACTCTGTGTGGAAGAAGGAAAGAAGGAAGAGTTATTGAGAGGGAACGTTAAAGAGATGATACATTCTTTTTTTTTTTTTTTTTTTTAAGGCATAACAATCATTTAGGGATCAATTATTAGGCCAACCACAGTTCGAGTAAGGATCGAGGGCGGTAAATGCTTACCGGGTCAGATGAAATTAGCCCTTTATCAAAAAGGCAGACGGCACCGACTTAGCCAAAAATGCTGACCGGACCCAATCAATTACGTATCAAACAAGCCCTTAGTTGGACCAAACTTAAGGACACTACTCCTTGATCCTCACAATGGGCTAGGGCTGTCCTTGGGTATGTGTGGGGTGTACGGCCGCATAGGGACTGTGTCATTTAAGGTGCCTATTTTTTTTTTATGTACATTAGTATTAGCTACAAATTAGTGATAATTTTTGTTGTGATTAATTTCATAAAAATTATCTATTTATCAATGATTTTTTACTTATATGAAAAAATTTATATTTAAAGGTTCATTTTTAATTTTTGGATTTTTCTTCCAAAATCAATGGAACAACTATAAGAACACAACCCTTTATTCCCTTCTTTGTTATATTCAAGATCAAACTCGTCTTATACAAATATGTAATTCATATTATATGTTATTTTATTATTATTATTATTATTATTATTATTATTATTATTATTATTTATTCAAATTTGTTTCCCATCTAACACTCATGTGAAATCCAATTACCCAAAATGGTGTCTTCAATTTTATTAAATATCTTGAATTTTGAACAATTCATCCGAGTGGCATTTGCACAAATTTAGATTTTAGCATTGCCATGTACACCCCAAAATTAAATACATCCCACCCCAATTCTGATGCTCACCTCTAAATGGAAGTTTCACATGTAGGGTTCATGGAATGCATTAAAAAAGAGGTAAGTTATTTAACAAGAGAATTATACAAGCATTAAATAAAGTTATAAAAGTATTAAAAATAAAAAAATAAATATTAAATGGAACAATATATCATATCAGATCAAATTTCATTAATAAATCAATAAAACAAATATGATTTAAAGATAATTTATAAATCAACTAAAAGTTACCAATTAAGTGTCCAAGACGCAACATCTTCGTAAATTAAAAAAAGAATCCCTTCGGTCTCTCCCACCATTTCCCGCCGTGCGGAGACTACGAACACACTCGCCCAAGCAGCTATAAATACCAATGACAGAAGCTCTCGTAGCAACGATGCCTGAAATCATGGACGGAAAAAGCTCTAGCAACACTGCCGGAAAGCCTATCAGGTGCCGAGGTAAGTTCTTCAACCCATGCTACCGCACTCTAATTCCATTGTTTCAACTTAAATCGATAAAATATCTGTTGGAAATTTTGAAACTGCATGTTTACCCGAGAAAATAAGCAATTACCTAATGGATGAAGGCAACATCTGTCGTAATTTTTGATTTCTTTGAAGAATCAATGGAGGATTGTGTTTTTGGCAGCTGCGATTGCTAGGAAACCACAGGAACCGCTGGTGATCGAGGAAGTGATAGTGGCTGCACCAAAACCTCGCGAAGTTCGAATCAAAATCATATGCACGTCGCTTTGCCATAGTGATATTAACTACTGGAAATTGGAGGTAGATAGTTGTTTTAGATCAAAATTTAAATCAGTCGAGTGTTTTTGTTGATGTTAATTAACGATTGTTGTTTTCTCCTAAAGCGTCCTCCTGCAATTTTCCCCAGAATACTCGGTCATGAAGCAATTGGGTAAGAATCCATCAAATTAGTAACTGTTGATGTTAAATCTGTTGAATCAATTACATAAATTCATTGAAATTTTCTCCATTATAGGGTTGTAGAGAGTATCGGTGAAGGAGTACATGAAGTTGTTGAAGGAGACTCTGTGATCCCAATGTTTCTGCCAGATTGTGGTGAATGTGCAGATTGTTTGTCCAAAAAAAGCAACCTGTGTTCAAAATATCCTTTCCATTGTACTCCATGGGTGGGTAGAGATGAAACAAGCAGATTCACAGACATCAATGGAGAAACTTTATACCATTTCCTGCATGTATCAAGTTTTACTGAGTACACAGTGGTTGAAATTGCTCGTGTAATCAAAGTTGATCCAGCAATCCCAGCAAACAGAGCCTGCCTCTTAAGTTGTGGAGTATCAACAGGTAAATTTTGTTAACTTTTATGTTCTTTTCACTATGTTTATGATCTAAATTGGTAACAAAATGAATGAAGATTAATAGATTATGCATTTGGGAACTTGAGTTTATGAAAATTCATTTTTTTTCAGGGGTAGGTGCTGCTTGGAAAGCTGCAAATGTGGAAATTGGAACAACAGTTGCTATATTTGGACTGGGTGCAATTGGGCTAGCTGTATGATTGATTCTTATCAACTTATATAAAGATTCAACTTTTAGGCCTTACATATAAAGAGTTTAATAAATTTTTTATAATTGAACATAATAACTACTATATACACAGAACTTTATAAAGTGTAAAAAAAACAATATAATTACATCAAGAAAGGGTACTGAATATTTTTCTTATTTCACAATGTTGACATGATACAACAGGCCAAAAAAGTTAATCAGGAATAATGTGTGAAGCTTTTATGGTTTGATTAGAAAAATAAAGTAATAATGGTTAAACCAAAAATATGATGTTTTTCATTATGCAATTTTCCTTTTTTTTTTTTTTTTTTTCATATGATGAGGGTAAAATGGGAATGATATTTTTAAAGGTTGCTGAGGGAGCAAGGCTATGTGGAGCTAAGAGAATCATTGGTATTGATGTGAACCAAGACAAGTTTGAAATTGGTATTTTAATATAATTTGTTAAAAAAATATAAAAGTTTCCCATTTTTTAACACTGATCATTTCTTTTTTATTAACAGGAAAGAAATTTGGAGTCACTGATTTTGTGAACCCACGTAACATCGGGGACAAAACTGTCAGCCAGGTAATTAATTTAATACATTATGCTTCATTTAAAATTAATATCTTAAATTCTTAAATGAAAATTAAAAAACGTTTCTTGAAGCAGGTGATAATTGAGATGACTGATGGAGGTGCAGACTATTGCTTTGAGTGTGTTGGTTTGACTTCTCTTGTGCATGAAGCTTATGATGCTTCTAGAAAGGTCTAATTGTTTTCTATATTTTTATATTTTGAGACATGAAATTACATTTTTAGCCACTAATTGAATCTTTTTTTTTATAACAATGACTGTAATCTTTAGGGATGGGGGAAAACGGTTATGCTTGGAGTTGACCAACCGGAGTCAATGTTGACTTTAAGTTCTTTTGGGCTACTTGAGGGTGGAAAGTCTCTAACGGGTTCACTTTTTGGAGGTTTAAAACCGAAATCTGATATCCCTGTTCTCATAAAACGCTACATGGATAAGGTAAGTAGAAATGTAGAATCCTTCTCTTTATTACTTTTATTTTATAAGAAACTAATGAATTTCTTGATCTTTTTAGGAACTACAACTTGACTTATTTGTGACACATGAGGTTGAGTTTGATGATATCAACAAGGCTTTTGATTTGCTTCTTGAAGGGAAGAGCTTAAGGTGTGTGATTTGGATGAAGAAATGATCAAAGTTCGTTGTCACAAATAACCCTTTCTTTCATGAATTGATGGCTTTGTTTGATATGTTTTAGTTAAATACTAGGCGAATGCCTGCGCAGAAACATCTATATAGTTGAAATATTTACAAATATATGTTTTTTTTAAGAGTAAATTACTGAAATCATCCCTGTGGTTTAGTTAAAATTGCATATTTGGTCCCTAACTTTTATTTTGCACTCGGATCGTCCCTGTGGTTTGATTTTGTTGCATTTTTCGTCCTTGTGGTTTGGTCAAAATTGCATCTTTGGTCCCTAACTTTATGTATTGGATGTGATTTCCTTAGATTTAAATTACCCTTGGCTTTATCATGTCCTTTGGAATAAAATAGTTGGAACTTGTCCTACATAGAAAGGAAAGAAAACTTGTAGATGTCTTATAAGCTTTTATTCTTCTCCCTAGATATGTACATCGGTGGTTATGGACCGATCTCAATTGATCTTGGCTGGTCTCGAAGTGTTAGAGACCGGTCAAATCTTTTTTCGTCCTTGGACATCTGTCCAGGGCCGCCGTATGTCTTTTTGGATCGATCTCGATCATTTTTGGTCTGGTCCTGCGGTCTTTGCGTGCGTCTTTTCGATTTGTTTTTAGGGTTTTTTCGGTTCGGTTTTGGTTTCGGGATTCCTGTTAATAATGTGTTATTAACATTATAAATGATATATTAGTACTTAATAAAAATGATACACTAAAGTTTGATAAAAGAAAAAAAGGGAAGAAGTTAGGTAATCTATGATTATAAAAATATGTAACTAACCTAAAAATTATATGCATATAAGCTTTTTATTCTGTCTTTTTTCAGTCTTTTTTGTCTTTTTTGGGATAGGTCTTGAAATGGTCTTGGACCGGTTATGTTTTTTTCGGATCAATATTCTTTTCGTTTGGTCCCCTTTTAGACAAGATTGGTCTCAGTCTTTTTTTTGAACTGGTTCAAGATAGATCTTTTTGTTCATGTCTACGTCTCGCTATATTACAATTGATCAAGTGCGACACAAAAACATTTGGGTTTGGATTGTAGTATTTATATAGCTAATTTAAGCCTGAATTAAATATAACGAATGGTCAAAGATATTGTCTGATTGATTTATTTTTTGTCTCTTAAATAAAAAATAATTTTTTTAATTATTAAAAATATATTAATATTGTTATTAATTTTCTTGGTAATTGATTTTGGTTAGTGACAATTTTTGTTCGTTAGTAGTTAATAACTGCCATATGACAACATATAAAAAGCTAATAAACTGACAAATTTGAAGATTGATTAGAAGTCCTTTTTTGGAAACAGAAAACGATTTGTTGGAAGCCTACTTGTAATTTTTCAACGGGCACCCCGGGTTCGAGCTCCTTTACAGAGCAATCCCAACCCCCATAGGGATTTCCTGAAAAAATTTCCCCACATATGACACTTACAAAGGTATAGGTATTACATGATTTGAACTCCCGGCCTTCCATCCCACATGTGTATTAAACCCGGTGCACCCACCTAGCTAAGCTGGACTTCATGTGTAGGACTGATTACAAGTCACATTACATCTTAACGGTTCTATTTAAAGAATGATAAAACTTTGCATGTTACCAAAATGTTTTCTAGATAAAAGAAAAATGTTGAGGTTTTTGTAAAATCAAAGTATACTCACCTTTCTCATAAATATGTAGAAAAATCTAATACAATTCTCATTTTTATCCATACTAGTTGATGTGATTTTAAAGCAACTCCTACAAGTAGAGGAAATAATTATTACATACATTTCATAGATGATTGTAGTAAGTATTTGTATGTTTTTTTTGCTAAGTACCAAAGATGAAGCTTTTAATTCTATCAAGAAATAGAAGGCTAAAGTTGAAAACCAACTTGATAAGAAGGTCAAAGTTTTAATGTCACACCGATGGGGATAATATGAGTCTAATGACTTTGTTGATTTTTTTTCCTTATAGGGTATCATACATCAAAAACAGTTTCTTACACTCCTAAACAAAATAGAGTAGCTAAATAAAAGAATATAACATTGATAAGCATTATTAATTAAATGCTAATCACTTTTGTCGAGCCATTCAACTTCTTGGGTGAAGTATGTCTCACAAAAATGCTATATTTAATATAATTCCTCCTAGAAAGAGTGATGGATCACCATGCGATATGTGGAATGAGAGGGGACCCTCTTTCAAAAGGATGAAAGTGTGAGTTTGTATTGCTAAACTTTAACCAAAAACCATCAACTGCATATATGTTGGTTATGCAATAAATAGTGCACCCTATGGGTACTTTGTATGTAAATATTATGTAAATGATATACATAATAAAATTATCATGGAATAAAAGAAGCTAAATTCTTTAAAGGTATTTTTCGTTGCAAGGATAAAGGATCGAATTTGGCATACAGTGTAAGTAGATTGATCTGACACCCCTACAACCATGTAAATGATCATTTGTATGCATTAGTTAGGGTGCTTAGATATTTGTAGCATATGGGCTACATTACATGAGATAACCTCTTATAGTAGAAAGATATTGTGATGAAAATTAGATTTCTAATACTTTTAAAAGTAATTCCATAAGTGGGTATGTGTTCGCACTCGATAGAGTTGTAGTTTCTTGGAAATAATATATGCAACTGTGAATCGCCATTGCACAGTGGAACCATAATTTTTAACTTTAGACAAAGATGTTAAAAACATTGAGTGGTTGAAAAGATTCCTAAAAAGTATTCATGTTTGGTCCAAATCTTTCGCTTCCATCTATATTCATTATGATACCATGACTGCTCTTATGAGATCATAAAACCCAATATACAATTGCAAGCCAAGACATAATTCACACAGACATAAAATAATAAGACCCAATCTAACAATTGAATCATTTTCATTAGTTATATAAAGTCAAAGGAACATATAATTCATCATTTTTTCATCAAACTTAGTAGAGAGAAAGTTCTCTTTACATCAAGGGGAATGAGCTTAAAGCTAAAATAATGAATCATTACTTGGAGAAAACCATAGATAGCGACATTGGAGATCCCACAATATAGTTTCAATAGAAAAGCTAGTTGGGAATGACTGAAAGTAACAGAATCACATATATATGTTCACTCTAATTAATAATATTTATCAATATGATTTTAGTTGATGATTTAGGAATGAATATTTTTCTAAATGTATCATGAAGAAGGATTGTTCACGACCAAAACAAACACTTTTTGATAATAGGAAAGTAGATTTTTGCAAGAACTACATATGTAGGAAACACAAGATGGTGAAATTTAACACTTCAATTGACACCGTTCTTAATGGTGTTGAATTTATTTTAAGGAGTTTCAATTCATTGCAACTTTAAAGGCATAGTTAGACACTGCACCATTCTTTAAACTCTTTAACAAAAAGGGTGTAGTTGAACGCATGAATAGGACCGGTATCTCAAAAGATTGTTGCATGCTATTTAATTCAAATATGCATGATCAATTTTGGGCTGGGGTGTCTTCCAAACCTTATTATCTTGTTAATTTATTCCCTTACATACCTCTTGATAGAAAGACTAAAATTAAAGTGTAGTTAGGTTTATCTGTAAAAGATTCAAAGTTGACGATTTTTTAATACAATGCATATACCCATGTCGACAATGATAAACTAAACTAAAAGACATTAATTAGATTCAATATTTTTTTAGAAATCTTGTGTCATGAGTTATATGAAATAATATATACGAGAAAAATATTGAATATCATATTCATGTTATTGAATTGATACAAGAGTACATATATTTATAGATAGGAGACATGTAAGCCATTAGCTAAATCTACCACATCAGGTAACTCCATTAATTTAGGGTTTGCAAGCCTCACAGTCCCAATTAACTATCTCATTGTAATATTTATTTACAAATTTTATCAACAACTCCGTAATAGCACCATATCACGAACACCTCTAACATATGTCCGGGTCTAACAACTCCCGACAACTATCACATATATAGTTATACAATAATGTGGTAAAAGATACATATATGATCTCGTAATTCAACTTCCTATCTCCTATACATCGATATAACTATTTTGGTATAATCTCATAAGAACGACTGATGAGCAGCATCTCTGATCACATGTGCCAAAATCCCCCAAATTGACACGAAACTCTCATATCTAATGCTCGGAGTGAGCCACGTTGTAGCCATACCTGCAAAACATTGTGGTGATTATATTCCGGTATTTCTACATGTCATACTCTCCTGCCACGTGTCTTAGTGACTCGTTATATGCCACGTCGTGGAATCAATTGACCACGTAGTGGCCACCAACTCCTCCGTCTATTTCCATGTGTTATGATGATTCATCTCTTACCACGTTGTGGTAAACATACTACCACATCGTGGTGGTAAAAGGTTGACCTTTGACTTGACTTCTTCTGACTTTCTCAAAACAGTAGTATTATAGTGGGTCAATAACTTGTTCACCATTAGGGTGTATGAGCTCTGTTAAAGTTGGGTTTCGATGGTAGCATTATAAGGTTTCTATGAGTATGAGTCAACCTTTTCGGTAAATCGGGGATTTAAGAGAATTGGTCGGATTGTTTGGTTACTAGGAGGGTGGTAAGGAGTGATTTGAAGGATGAAATCTAATATAGGTGGGGGAGAGTTGTAACATGCTATTTCGAATCGTTTCATAATTCAGAGCCATGACTCGAAGATCAATTATCAAAAGGCTTCGTGCATTAAGGAAATAGAGGTTTAGACCCCTTTGGATGTGGATAATGTAGATTAGGTGATCTGAGGGTCCGGTTAGTGCTTTGGAGCCCAAAGGTATAATAGTAAAGTGGTGGTGCGGGCCTTTTATGAATTTTGGATTTAAGTTTGGCAAGTTTTAAGGAAAAGGATAATTTATAGGATGGTGGAGCTTCTCATTACCTTTCCGTGGATATGAGGATCGTCTAATTCGGAGTTAGAACAAAATTTTATGGCCATCGGAAGATAGAGTGGTAAGGG